GGTTTATTTTGATCGATAGTGTAATTCTATCCATATTAGCAATAGTGTTGACAAACTAAAACAATTATGTCTAATTGAGGAATTCAAACGTTGGGCACGTGACGATCTCAAAACTTACTTGGATGAAAAGAAAGTTGAAACACTACAGGAATCAGCCACTCTTTTCGATGATTACACTTTAACACAAAAAACCACTTTTTATAAACAGAAATTCCTGCCACCTCAGCAAAAACACGTATCTGTTGAATCCACTAAAGTTGAGGATTCTTCTAAAATCCAGCTTCTCTAGTTCGAAATATTCTGACAGTCAGGATAAAACTTTATCAAAACTATCTACCGTCATGTTATGTCCGATTGTTGGTATTTGGAAAAGGAAAAAGATAATAAAGCAACACCCAGTGTGTTTGTGTCCACATATGGACTTAGTTTCACCAGATCACACGATTTTGTTGATCCGGCCACTGATATAAAGGCTGATGTGGTTAAGGAGGAATTTAGACCTTTTGTGTCTGTTGGTTCTTTGTCTTTGACAAATGATACTGCCAATCTCATATCAATTCTACGTGATCCTGTGACGACTCAATCATTGTTGTTAGAAGGTATACTACCTTTGGATTGGAGTTCTGCCACTGATGAATTTGTTATTGATCAGGGTATTGAGGGTGGCTTTGTAAATGTTAATCTTCATGACATTTATTTGGCATCAGACCTAGGTTTGGGACCAACTGTGGTTGGAGTAAGACCTACTCTGCCAATTAAGGGTGTATCATTATTGTTGGGCAACGATTTAGCTGGGGGAAAAGTTGTTGCCGAACCCAAAATGGTTCGTGAGCCGATCACTGTTTCATCTAAAGATGATGTTGTCGTTGAAGAATCACGATGTGTTTCCATCGTGTGCTGTGACTCGAGCTTAGGCTAAGAAATTACGTAAAAAACAATTGATAGACACGTATTCAGAGAACGATATTATAGATTTCTCTGAGACATTTCTTGGATCGAACGGGGATCCTGTAGATGATTGTCCTACTGACGATTCCTCGGAGAGTGACAATAATGAACATGAGGGATCTGGTTTACCTGGTGAAGTTCCGTTTACTAAAAGTAAACTGATCATTGAGCAAGAAAAGGATCTACAGATCTCTTCACTATTTAAATATGCACTCCCAAAAGATGAACTGGAGAAAGTTCCAAATGGTTATCTTTTCGAAAATAATGTGCTATGAGGAAATGGAGACCATCAGATGTGCCAGCTTCAAGAGACTGGGCTGTATTTCATTAACTCGTTGTTCCCAAAGCATATCGTTCTGAAATATTGAAAGTTGCCCATGAACTGCCCATGGAAGGTCAATTAGGTGTCAACAAAACATGTGACAAAATTATGAGACATTTATTTTGCCCCCAAATTAGGTAAGATATTTCTCAGTTTTGTAAAACTTGTCATATCTGTCAATTGGTCAGAAAACCTAACCAGAAAATTCCTGTTATTCCTTTGAAACCTATCCCAGCTTTTGAAGAACCTTTCAGTCGTGTGAAAGTTGATTGTGTTGTGAATTATCCAACCGCTACCAACAAGAAAAGTTTTGTAAAAATTTTGCTGACATCACTGTACCATTAACAAACCTATTGAAGAAAAATAAAAAAATCAAGTGGTCTGAAACATGTCAATCTGCTTTTGAAAAGGTCAAATCTTTATTGTGCACTTACCCCGTATTGATGGCACCTGACTTTGATAAGCCTTTCACATTAGCTGTTGATGTCAGTGATTTTGGTGCTGGTGCTGTTCTATTACAATCAGACGACAAAATTATTTAACACCCTGTTTGTTATTTTTCTAAAAAGCTTAACTGTCAACAAAAGAATTATTCTATTGTGGAAAAAGAAACACTGGCTTTAGTGTTAGCTTTAGAACATTTCAATGTGTATGTATCTGCATCACAACAACATATTTTCATTTATACTGATCATAACCTATTGATGTTTTTAAACCAAATGAAGAGCAAAAGCAGGAGACTGTTAAGTTGGAGTTTATCATTACAAAAGTATGATTTGAAGATAATCCATGTCAAAGGGGTTGATAACATTTGTGCTGATACACTTTCACATGCTATGTAATTTTATTATCATAAGGTTATTTCTATTGATTGTGTTATATACTGTCATGATTATTGAAGTTGTATAATTCTTTGATAATGTATTATATTTAATATATTGTTGTCAATGTATATATATATATATACTATCTTAAGTTAAAATTGTCTATCT